TATATATATATATATATATATATATATATATATATATATATATGAATTAGCTTGAAGAATTTAGCCAGAGAAAATTTTGGCCAAGCCTTGTACTTTGCTTGCCATTTTGTGTTCCTTTCTATCAATTAAACTTGTAGGCTTTCACTGCCTAAGACTAGACATATATATACTTTATGTATATCAAATTTGAAGCTTTTAGCCAGTATAGTAAAAGAGACGTAATCAGTTAGTTAGTAACTAACTAACTTGTATCACTAGTCAATAATAGGATTTGACAGAATAGTAAAAAGGCAAAGGCGATGCAAAAAGAAGCCAAGTTTGCGACAGATAATTTGAGCGAAAAATAAATCTTAGCAGTGTTTTCTTTCATTTTTTCATTTCAAATAGTTACTTTCCTCAAGTCATGCTTTCTTTCTTCTTTTTTGCAAGCTAAGTAAAAAGAAAAAAGACTACTCTCATTCTAGCCTTTTTTAGCCTTAGCTTCGTAGTATGCATCTTTCAGACCAAAACTTTTTACTTGTTTGTCATCAGATTTGCCCTTGAAACAGTAATCGTTTCTCAATTACGTGCTTGCATATTTTGACTAATTTCAGATGTATATGAAAATATTTGACTAGACTTTTGTACTTGATAATTTACTTAAATTTTTTAATCCTATTAATTGATTCGTACAAATTTCATATATTTATTGTTTGCATTGTATTTACTTCTTGATTTTTCAAATGTATGCACTTATTTTTCGTTTGCGATTTGTTGATCTAAAGTCTACATTAATTTAAGGTTTAAAATTTGAAAAAGACCTTCATGGTACTTTCTTCATTCTATCCTTCATAATATACATTTTATTGAATAATACTAATTAGTACTTTAATTGTACGGTAGAAAATTAATATAAATAACTGTAATTAAATTATCTCATAAATGAATAATAATTTTGTCTTGCAAACATATCACTTCATATCATTCATTATTTATTTTACTCTCTAAATCTCACATTTTTCAAGTAAGTCTGTATGATTACTTTATCAAATATCAATCCATATCAGGTAAGTAGTTCAAAAAATTAGAATGACGTGACTACAAAATGACGTGGATATAAAATGACGTAAATTAAAACGACGTCATGCTTGTTTTACTTTTTTTACATGGTTTGTTCACTTTTATTCTTCACTAAAGCATTAACGAAAACTAACTGACAAAAAGATTTTTGAAAGTTAAACTTTTGAATAATCAATTCTAACTTTTAAATATATGCAAGTATGAAACGGAAATTGCTGTATTTACCAAAAATATCGATCATTTTCTGCTTATTTCTCAGCAACACAATAATAGACGAGTGAAGCAAAACATATTATGACTCACTGGCCCCAGCAGATTTCAAATTGGCCAATATTTTTATTTACGGCCAAGTCAGTTCAAGGCCATCGATTTCAGCACTTGCATGTTTCTACTAGCTCTTTTATCAAATTACTAAAATGATTATATTTACTGTAGCGAATTTTTCTTAATTTGCATAAGTAATAAATATTTCAATTCTCTAAAAAGTATATATTAATTTATTTTTATCAAAAGGAAAACTCTAAATATATTCCAAATCACTTCGCTTCTTGTAACAATTTCGTGAAGTTTCTTATAAAAACAAGACTACTTTCGTAGTCCGTAGACTTTTAACAGTCAATTGAAACGTGTAATTTGAAAATTATGAGCATCAATTAACTTAATTACTTAAAATCTTTCAGTTCTTTTACCAATCAGTTGGAATTTTTCATCAATCAAATATGATAAAAGATATTTTATTGCGCTGAAAGTTGCAATCAGTGATAATAGTAAAGTATATTTGACAATACTTTCTGGCATCTCATGCAGAACTATCTGAAGACTCTCTTCTCACTTCAGTATCTTTGGTCAGATAATAAAAGAAATTGAAGTGTATATTTGAAATCGATATATTATAAAGAAACGAAAATAAAATACTGCATAAAAAATAGAACAAATGTATTTTTATCTTTCTTTCTAATTTTTGTTGCATTTTTGCACACAAACAACGATAATAATTATCGTGAAAATCTTTGATTACTTGTAATACAAAGATAACTTTATTAAAATGCACACAAAGTTTGCTTAGTGTCACTTAATTGCTTCAAAAATTGTCAATTAATTTGTAAAGATTCTTGAAAG